GATTCTTAAAAAAAAAAATCTAACCAGAGCATTAAGTGCACCCTAAGACCCAGTTGGTGTTTTTGGTCATGAAGCAGGGTGATAAGAGCAGTCTGGGCACCAGCAGGATTCATCTTCTGTAATTTTAGCCACCTAAGACCTAGCATCTAATCTAAGCTAGCCAGGCATTGTCCTGAGTCCAATCTAAGGGCCAGTAAAGCCGGTGGAAAGACTTCACTGATGTCAGTAGCCTTCGAGCCTGTACACGAATCGGGAAACTCAGCCTCTCCCTGCATCTGGTTTCAGGGGCACGATGAACATTGAAGTGCACAACATCACTTACACCAGCGCCACCGTCTCCTGGGCCATGAACAACCCCTGTCCGGAGAACTACTACCACGTCATGTACCGCCCCAACTGGAACAGCGTCTTCGCCGGCTATTTACGCCAAAACTTTCACCGCGAGGAGCGAGTTCCTCACCCCCTCAGCTCCCTTGTCCTCCACCAACTCACACCGTCCACCATCTATGTCCTCTGCATCACGTGCAAGAACTCTTACCCCTCCAGCAACCACTGCACCACGTTCCACACTCTGGACAAAACCCCCCTTGTTTTTGGCAGCTCTAAGCACGAACCTACCACCTCCATGTGGATGGTGAGCAGCCTGCTGCTCCTCTGCTTCATCGCTCTCCTGGCCTACGGCTGCCTGCAGTTCTGGTCTGCACGGTGCCATCGGGCTGCGAGGCTGAAGCATCCCAACAACAGCCCCGAAGAAGTGGGTGAAGGCAGCAGCTCGCCAGAGGGTCCACTGAATGACGGACTGAGAGAGGAGCTTCTGGAAGTCCCCATGACCACTGTGCTAATGAGGAGCTCCAGTTTCATCAGGGAGAGTCCATATAGCTCCCCCCACTGCTTTTTTTCCTATAAAAATAGCGACGATAAAAGGGCCATCTTGCCACAGCACGGCCTTCAATGAGCAAAATATGGGGAGACCCTACTCAGAGGTTTGGTTTGTGCTGCTCTTTCCAAGCTCTTGCCAACAGGACTGTCCGTGCGTCCACGGAAGCTGTTTGTCCCGGGGTAGAACATGAGGTGGGGACATTGGTTGCAGGGAGAAAGAATTTTGTCAAGTGACAAAAATATTCTCATTTGCTGAGGGGTTTTTTAAAAAGAAACCAAGGCAGCTCTCTGGGAACAGTCAGGCTCGGCTGACCGTAGTGTCGTTTGCTAATCTGCATCAGTGTGGTAGGTTCACTTCAGAGTCATCAATGGACGTGCACAAGAAATAAAACTCCACTCAAGCAGTTTCATACTTGAGTGATCCTCCAGTAGCATCACGCCCCAAGCCCTCACAACGCCTGTATAAACAGTCATCGCAGCCTGACAAAGAGCTTTTTGTCAGTATTTAGTAGTCTATATTCGCACACATAAGTATTTCAGTAATTCGCATTCTGAACTATAAATGGAATTCCTAAAGTGGTACCTTCCTCAGGGAGGAGCACTGAGCTGGAGCTCCAACTCGCTCTCCTCTCTGCGCATTTAGATGGATGTGACTTGGTCTCAGTGCCAACACCAAGCGCAGAGCGGTGTCAACATCCCCTGACATAGGCATGTTATGGAGAAGAACGTGGGAAAGCAATAGCAAAAGCACACTGAATCTGCTTCTTGCATGGCTTTTTGGTTTCACACAGCAACGTGACCCTGCCCGTTTGCACTCTCCGTTCTGTTAATGAACTGGTTCTTGCATTTCTTTCTTCCTCAATAAATACTTCCAACATTCACCTCTTCTGGCTGTTGTGGCTCATTTACTGACCTTGGATCCATAGAGGTAATATGGCTGAACGTTGGCTGGCTTGTCCCGCTGGGGTTCCTGTGTGAACGGGATTGCTGTCCTCACAAACCTGTGGTGGGCATGGGAGATGGGGAGGAAGGTGGTCAGAGTCCGGTTAACTGTGTTGAGTACAGATATGGCACGGTCTGGGATGAACTGCAGTTACAGACTAATTAGCAATTCATCATCATGAATTGGAATGAACTGGAATGCAAACTCCTGCCCCAGTCCATTGATGGTGTAAACTATCAGTTTAACCTACCAAAGGTGAGGTTTCTTCTCACCTGGGGCAGGCAAGAAACCCATATATGAGCAGCTACCACAGCTCTGCTGCTCAGTAAACCAACCCTCTAAACCAAACTAGCTCAGTTGCTTGGAATCACTGTCCAACTTCATTGCTTGAATTTGTTAGTAACGTTTTCAAGATCAAGGGCAGCTGGTGCACTTTAACTTCATTTTAACTGAACTGTTGCATCCCATAGGGAATGAAAACCTCACCGCAATGCATGTGAATTTTATGTGGCAGGTCTGACATTTTGAAAAGAAAAGCAGGGTCTCCAGGTGTCCCCTGCCTTGCTTTTTCTCCTCACCTGTTGGTGGATCCATTGTAGCAGTAGTTGGGTAGAAAGTCAAAGTTGAGCTCCCAGAAGACGTGGAGGGTGATGCGCCCATAGGGCGCGGAGACATTGTGGTTGGCCTCCCGGAACATGGCATCAAAGCTGTCCAAAGTCATGTGCTTGCACAGCAACCTGTGAGTCAGGCGATTTATTTCCAAGAGCCACTCTAGCTCCTGCAGCACATAAAGCAGCAGCAAACGCCACATATTACCAAGATGACAGTAAAACCAGTTGATTTAATTGCCAGGGGAATGGTTTTATACCCACACAAAACTTTCCAGGTAAGGATGCAGCAAATGTTAAAGACACCAATTTAACTCAGTGGCCGAGGCCAACTGCACTTCTACTCAAGGGGTCCTGGTCCATTATCTCCTAAACCTGCAGGAAGCAAAATCAATTTGTTCCCCACTGAGCACTGGCTGGTTTTCACATCAGAATCCTTCAAAGGTGGAAACCGGTAATCTTACAGTACTTGACTCTGATGCTCCTGCAACGTACCAAAGGCAGCAAATCCTGTACACACACAAACGATGTCTCAGCCACCTTCATCCAACTGGAGGAATTAAAAGTCAAGATTTCCTTCTCCCAGATCACAAGACTCTCTTCTACGAGCTCTGCAAAATCTAACTGCTGACTGGCACCTTATGATTTACACAGATACTTAATGGTCCAATAATAATGCAATTAAAGCTGCATAAATGGAAATAATAGAGACTCAGCAGCATAAAGGAGGAAACACGGATGGCTGAAACCTACTGTTAATGGGACTTGAAGCAGAAGACAGCTGACTGTGTATCCATAGCAGTGTATTACTCTCTCTAGTCACACTCGCAGTCAGTAACGGTTCTTACCACTATGGATGTCAGGTCCTCGCTCTCAAAGCGGCTAATGGCCTGGTCTAACGATTTGTACATCGCTGCTGAGATCCGCTGGGTAATGAGCCTGTTCAGGTCAATCGATCTACCCAGCAGCTGGCAAAAGAAGAGAAGATATTCACCTGTTATATACAGATGGTGAAAAGGTACTTTTTTTTTTTTTTTTTTGTAACGGACACAAATTAAAACCAAATATCCAAGTTTGCTTAAATGTGAAAGCAGTGATGCAAACACCTTGGTTGAGTTTACCACTACTTAAGAGGGAAGGAGGAAAATGTGGAGTGTAACTCATTTTTCCCTCAGGCCGCATGCCCTGAGTGTGGTGTGTCAGAAACAGGTTCAACCCTTCTCAACCCAGCATTGATGTCGATTGAGCCAGCACTAGGATTCCAGCCACTAACAAAAGGATAACAGACCAAGAGCTATGAGTACTGGAGTCTACTGCTTGCACTGTACCTGGACATGCCTCTGCTTGAGCAGTGTTTCGTAGCGGTTGGATGGTGGGTATGGAATAATCACCCCGTAATTCTTACATTCAGCCCGGAAACGTTTGTCCAATAAAACACTGAAAAAGAGAAGCAGCGTCAAGAAAATAAAGAAACATACACTATCAGCTTCTCTGGATCTCTTCCAGAGTTGTTTTCATTCTTCTCTTCATCTTGCTCTGCATGCCAAGAAATTTCCATACACTAATAACTCTGCTTTCACTACTAAATCACACACCAGCAGTTGTTATCTGGGGACTGCCATGCTGTTGTCCATCCTTCCTCGCTTTTATGGCTAAAACATTCAAAAATGTGCTGAAAGATATCACTAGTGCCAGGTACTGGTGTGCTCCCACCTCAAAGATCTGCTATGGGAACATTTGGTTAGCGACGGTGATAGCTCTCCCTCTCTAAGGCCAAATGGGATCTAGAGACAAAACTCTTTGCAGAGCTACACCAAAGATTTGGTTCACCTTTTGGGACATGGGAGGAACACTCTCATTAGAGTTCATCCATGTTCTTTAAATGGTTAGAAGGAAATGTCACGAAGGGCCAATCTCCCCACAAGGGGGCAAGAGACTGCAGAAGTCCTACCATCAGCTGGTCTAATATGTGACCTAAGACATTGAGTACCCTTCTGGCCACTACAAGTCCTGCTGCTTTGCTAAGGTGAGGACAAACATGTTCCTGTTTCTTAGAGATGAGAGGCTTCCGCTCCTTAACCGCCTGGTACACAAACAGGTCAAGCAAGGACATGTCTTCAGCAGGCTCGGTTTGCTTTTCTGCTGCTCTTACAAATTGTACTCAGACATCTACTTAGGATGCCAATTATTATTTTTTCCCTTTAACCATGTCTCCTTGCCACCATTAGTTCATTTTCTCCATCTACAATGGCCTGACATGGACAGCCAGCTCTGTGGGACAGGGATGATCTATTTTGTTGTGTCTACGTGCAGCTACTCCCTGAGGGGAACCTTTTAGTTAACAGCAATTTGGATGCAGCGATATCATCACTCATCATCAGCAGTCCGGTTCTCCTACCTGCCAGCCATGGCTTTATAATAGGCAAAGATCTGATCTGCCAGCTTGTACACAAATTGATCAAAGCACAAATTCACCTGAGGGAGAAAAAAACAAGACAATGTGAGGGTGTCATCAGCACACAGCAGCTCCTTCCTACGCACGCAAGATCAATACAACTCAACACAGAGCTCTAATTTAATATGTACATATATGTCACGCTATCTAAAAACCGCACTGCAGTTCTCAGATGCTAAAGGTAAGCAGAAAATTGCAGTTACATTTCTCTCTTATAGTTTCCACATGTTCTAACAAGTCCTGGTCCCCTACCCTCAATCATCCTTCCTTCTCAGGGATCTCTGGTTTCTCATTTTCTACTGATGTCTCACAACCCTCTGCCCATCAGACAGCCTCTTCCATGCCTCCAGTGTTTGATAGCCTTTGGCTTCCACTGTTCCCCATGGGTACAGTTGAGCTGAAGCCCATAATCAGCAGAGCCTGTAAGCTCTCTGGCAATTCTCATCTTTTTAAAACTGCTCAGTCTGACAGAGCATTTTTTTCAGGAGATGCTTATAATGAATTCAGTGAACTGCTGCGCGGGGCTGTCAAACAGGGCAATGTGACCCCAGTGAGCTCTTTCCATACAATAAAGATGAGGAGAACTTACTTCAGCTTCAATTTCATCGTATAGGAACTGCTTTTTGAACTTGGTCAAGGCATAGTATGCGCTGTCATTATAGAGGTCCAAGGGGTACAGTACATACCTGAGGGCAAGAAGACAGATCATGTCTTAAAATAACTTTGGAGCATATCAGCATAAATCGCAGCCAGTGCACGTGCCCTGCTCGGTGCAAAAAATGGCTTTTCTCTGACTTCACTCCTATCACCTCTGCTCACTCCAGCCCCTCAAATACTCCCTCTCACTCTTTGTGTACTGCTGGAAGCAGCTAGAACAGATGTGGATTTGAGCTAGCTGTGACTTGTTCAATCAACATTTGCTCCTTCTCTGCCCTTAAAAAAAGCCTTCATCCTGCCCCCTCTCCACAGAGTGCTCGGACAAGGGCCATAAAACGGAAAACAAAGTTTTGCTAATGAGGAAGATACTACGAACACAATTATACTTGCATAGCAGCAATTCGTCTCATCGTTTATCACGTATATTAAAAAAAAAGTGCTCAGGTGCTTTAGCCAGGGCCCACGTTCCTTTGGTTGTACGTGCTGTCTGACTGCTGCATGCGGATGATGGTACCACCAAGTTCTGCCCACATCTGAACAGAGCAGTTGCCAACTGCTGGTTTATGACACGTAAGTGCCAGTGCCAGGAAACAGCCCGTGCGTGTCTGCTAACGAGGTATTCATACAGTACACATCCATGTGACAGCAAGGCCAGAAACATGTTTTCCCTCCCACATCAAAAAGACTGTTCATCACCAGCCTACCCTACTCCACAACAAAATCCCAAGCCCCAGCGCACGCACGGTCCCAACACAGCCCATCGACTCTTACTCCATCATGGAGGGTTCTTTGGTTTCCAGAATATGGTCCGTGAGGATCCAGGGCATGGACATTTCAATGGGGAACTGGATGCGGCGGCCCATGGTCAGCTCCAGGAAGAACTCCCGAAACCAGAGCTGGGACAGGTCACAGCACTGCTGCAGCGCTTCTGAAACACAGAGGAGATCCCCCCCAGAGGGAGGGCACTCATGTTACCTCCACACGGATGGCAGCGAGGGAAGTACACAAGAGGCAGCTGCTGCGGCCTCATATTGGACTGGTTTTAAGTGTGGAATATTTTCCTGGGGTGTCTCTGTTTTTAAACCCAGACCATGTCCATGCTGTCTGAGCACTTTGTATTGGAAGAAGAAAGAAGGGATCACTCTTTTTGCTCTAGAGCTGCAGGGAGAACATTTCAATGGCTCAGAGTTATCCTGGAAGATTTCTTCTGTGCTTAGTGGCTCAGAAGTTTGTCTAGGACAGAAAGAAAACTCTAGTCCTAGAAACTAAACTACAACCTGTAGCTATTTGTCATTGCTGACTCATTCCTCTTCACATAACGATTACTACCCAGAAACACGCCTGTACCAGGCAGAAGCAGAACATTTGGGAAAAAACAAAGAAAATCTTCTCCATCTGTCAATGAGGAGCAAAGATGATCTGATCTACCTTTGCCTGTCTGAGCATGCAAAAGTTGGAAACAAGCCTCCCCCCGCCATAACCTCACCACTGATGTTGAGAAGGTGGGTGAAGAAGAAGGACTGCTTGTGGAACTCCTCAATGGCCAAGACTATCGGCCCATCCAAGCTGCTCCTCAGAGTCTTCTTTGAGCCACTCTTGTCTGCTATGAGGGACTCCAGCATGGTCCGCACCATGTAAAGCTTTGGAAGAAAATTAGGTGTTAACTTTACAGTTACCACTCTTCAGTGAGACACCACCACACATAGCCATGGTGCTCTGCAACAAAAAATAACACTTCTCCCGGATGGCTACTACTCTCTGCACCCATAAGCCACCATCATTCTGAGCTAGAAATAATTACACCCTTAAAAATGGAGGCTTTGGGAACTATACAATAAACTAGGCACCAAAGCAACATTTAACACACAACAGTGGGAAGACTTTGTGGAAGAGACCATGGAAATAGCTCCTAATCCACTGGATGGGAGACTCCTACATGGCTGTAAGGCCATTAACTCCCTACACAGGAGACTTGAGGCTTACATACCTGCGTACTTGATGGTCCTACTGCTCGTCGTGGGACTTTAATATCAAATCCACCTTTAGGATCCTTCTCACCTCTCAGACAAGGATCATTTGGAGGCTCTCGACCTCCCTCCCAGTCACAGATTGTCTTCCGAATTGCCTGAAGGACACTGGAGTTGGGGGGAGAAAGTATTGCTTAAGCTTGATTTTACTTCAAGATTAAAATATTCACTGCTGTGCACATATGGGAGGAAAAGTATCTGAAGTGCGGACACAAAACTGTCGTTTTTCGGGGAGTCATGTCCAAAAGTTACCTTGAAAAGAGCTGCTGGCCAAGCTATGTTGGCTGGTTGTATACAATGAGGTTTGTGCAGGGCCAAATGTGTTACGTAGTACAAATGTGTTACACAAATAAACACGTGGGCTTTGCACCACATTCAAGGACAGACTGACCTGATCAGAACGTTCTTCTTCTTCCTGACTGCCTGCCTGAGTGGCTCTCGCAGGGTCACCTGGGCAAAGTCCTGCAGGGCTGCATAGATAGTGTTGCGGATGGCTTGGTTAAAGACACTCTCCATCCGGCCCATCAGCACTTGCAGACCTTTGATCATGGCAATTACCTGAAACGAAAATTAAAACCAGATGTATTTGCTATTTTTCCATTGTACGAACAGGTCCATAAGCCCAATGTTAAGAGAATTTGGGACTAAATTAATTCTACTCAAGTAACTTGGGTCCACTAATTAGGTGGCTAATTTTTTTGACGTTAGCTGCTTTACAGATCACAACAAGCTGAGGAGAGCATTTATGCCACCAGTTTCTCGCAAACAGCCCCCGTCCCTTGGCAGGCTCTGCTTCCACTCTTGATCTCTTGATATCTTTAATAACACACAATCCCAGGAAACTGCACATGCTCCACCCGTGGGTGCAGCCGTGGCTTGCACAGACCTGCATCCGCACCAGGGCACAACCTTCCCTGCACAAGAGCACAATGACAATTCCCAGGAGGGAGTGAGCCACAAAATTAAGGCAATGTTCAAACCACCTTGGATTGTGTGAGGCAAGATGAAGGTGTGAGGGCCTCCCACAGTCAGGCGCAGCGGACTGTTCCCACTGTCCACAAACAGTTGGACCGAGAGTTGATGGGTCCTGGGGACTGGCTGAGGATCTCTTGTGCTTGCACAGCACCTAAATGTAGCTCCTGGTCTTGCTGCAAATCACGCTGCTCTGCAAGCCCACACCTTTTTTTTTTTTCCAGGAGCCCTGAACCCCCTTTTCAGGTCAAGAGAGGCTTAATACACCAATATTAAGAAAACATACGGATTCACCTCTGTCTTTCTCCAGCACACAAACACAATATAAGAGCAGGATCGGGAAAAGATCACGCACGGTACGGTGCTCCTACTGCAGCAGGAGCTCCTAAGAACCTAATTTGCCCCTTAGTTCTGGGCAAATTAAGGGAAACAGGGATGTGGGAACCCTTATAGAATCAGAGAATCATCTAGGTTGGAAAGGACCTTTAAGATCATTGAATCCAACCATTAACCTGGCATTGCTGAGTCCGCCACTGAACCATGTCCCAAAGCACCACACCTACACATCTTTTAAATATCTCCAGGGATGGTGGAAGGGTCCCCCCGCCCCTCCCCGGGCCAGCCTGTCCCAGTGCTTGACAACCCTTTTGGTGAAGAAAGTTTTCCTAATATCCAATCTAAACCTCCTCTGGTGCAAGCTGAGGCTATTTTCTCTTGCCCTATTGCTTGTTGCTTGGGAGAAGAGACCGATCCCCACCTCGCTACAGGCTCCTTTCAGGTAGTTGTAGAGAGCGATAAGGTCTCCCTTCAGCTGCCTTTTCTCCAGGCTCAACAACCCCAGTTCCCTGAGCCGCTCCTCATAAGACTTGTGCTCCAGACCCTTCACCAGCTTCGTTGCCCTTCTCTGGACACACTCCAGCACCTCAATGTCTGTCTCATAGTGAGGAACCCACAACTGAACACAGTATTCGAGGTGCGGCCTCACTAGTGCTGGGTACAAGGGACAATCACTCCCTAGTCCTGCTGGCCACGCTATTTCTGATACAAGCCAGGGTGCTATTGGCCTTCTTGGCCACCTGGGCACACTGCTGGCTCATGTTCAGCCAGCTATCAACCACCACCCCCAGGTCCTTTCTGCCAGGCAGCTTTCCAGCCA